TCTTTCTCTCTCTCTCTCTCCCTCTCTTCTCTCTCTCTCTCTCTTCTCTCTGTCTCCTCTCTCTCTCTCTCTCTCTCTCTGTCCTCTTTTCTCTGTCTCTCTCTCTCTCTCTGTCTCTCTCTCTCTCTCTCTCTCTCTTCTGTCTCTCTCTCTCTCTCTCTCTGGTCGAGGTTTTCTGGCGCCTGTTAAAAGGGCAGTGTTTCTGCCCCTGTCTTCCAAGGTCTTGCTTCATGGTGGTACTGTTGGGTCTCTGTAAATGTTATAAGGAGTTCGGTCTAGACCTGCTCTATTTGAAAAGTGTCCTGAGATAACTTCTGTTGTGAATTGGAGCTATACAAATAAAATTGAATTGAATTGAATTATCGTTTGCTTTGTTCCCAACAAACATTTTCAGCTTTTTAAAACATCAGCAGGACGCTTTTAAAGTATCTCTATAACACTTATATATATATAAGTGTGTTAGGATTAACGTTCCACCTCAGCGCTCCTGTGTCTGTTAATAAATTAATAAAGTCACCAGTTATTAACAGTTATTAACGTACTGATCTGTTTACAAGGTCACAACAACAAATACTGAACACGGTAATCTGACTAGAAACTACAGAACAGAAAACTAGAAAACTACTACAGTTTTATTAGACTTACAAAAAACAGTGTAAAAAAATAAAGAGGTGTAAAAAAAAAAGATAAAAACAGTATAAATAAACTTATAGCCAATATAGAAAGCAGAGATAAGAATAAAATAGAAGAAAAAAGATAAATGAAATCAAATAAGATATTAAGTTGCTCCACAAAGAAGAAACTCATTGTTATTTCAGTTCAGAGAGGATCAATAAATATCAGTTTTAAAGCTACAGGAGAGAAGAAGGGAAAGTAAAAAGTTCTGACAGCAAACGGACCGAAAACAAGATTGTTAGATAAATTATTTTTAGCATGAATTCAAAAAGCTTAACTTGAATTAAATCCATCTGATCACCATACATATACTTTATTTATTTAATCATTTGTATTTTCAGAGATCAATCAAAAGTCCGAAGCAGAGTAGACGCCGCTTCTCGCTCCGTCTCTACCGGTTTTTTTTAATTATTCGTAACGTCGTCAGCTTCCAGTCAATCGCTTCGAATGATATTTATAATGAGTGAATCCTTCGTGAGCTCTTTGTGGCGTCAGAAACACGATTTCTTCTCTTCCACAGTCCTGAAGATGAAGGGTGAGAGGCCTTTAAAGGTAGAAGAGGAATGTCGTTTCAAAAGTGCTTCACACACAAGACAACCTGACAGTGTTAGACTATAACAAACACTGGACATGTATGATTGGTTTACAATCTGCGATAGTACAAATACTGCTTTTATAAAGGTTTTCTTTACTGTTTCAAGTGTTTACGATGATTTCAGTCTTGCAATATTTGACACAAAGAGACATTTTCAGTGTTTCTCTACTTCGGGACCAAATAATCTCTGACGGGAGAGAAAATTATCCCTCGTAGGAGCTTTTTAAGAAATAAACAACTGAATCTAATTTGACCAACACGTGTGAAGATGCAGACAAAATAAAAGACAATAAACAAGCTTGAACCTGAAGAGAAAATGAGAATATT